GTCATCACCTCCAAGTACCCGCCGCACACCTTCTAGAGCGCCCGCTCCTTCCTCCTCCTTGAGGAACTCGGCCTTCAGCACGACGCCAACGCCGAAGCCGGGCAGGCGCTCACCGTCACCCATGGTGACCGCTCCGCCGGATCCTCCAACTCCTCCGGCAATGGCGGCGGGACTGGCTCCAACGACGGCTCCTCCGGCTCGTCCGCACCGCGCTCCAACCGCAACAACAACGGCGGCGGGGGCGGCCGCTACAACAACCGCAACGACCGGCGCCGCCAGAAGGGCAACAGCGGCGGCGGTAGCGGCGGGAACGCGCGCTTCAACAACTCCAACGCCCAGAGCGCGCCCTACGCCGCGGGCTTCAACCCATGGCAAGGTATGGTGCAGGCATGGCAGATGCCCTTCCGTGCTCCGGGTGCGGGAGTCCTGGGTCCGCGGCCGCCTTCCAGCCTCAGCAGGCGATGATGGCCTCTCACCTGCAGCCACCGTCCCCGCACGGCTCCGCCAACTCCTTCGACACCGGGGGCCTCTACGCTGCACTCCACTCAGCCGGCGTTCCACATCAGCCGCAGAGCACGTCCGACTGGTACTTCGACACCGGTGCCACGTCACACATGTCCTCCAACCCCAGTAATCTCCCCTCCCATACACTTCGTCCTTCGTCTTCTTCCATCACAGTGGGCAATGGTGCTCGGTTGCCTGTCACTCACCGAGCACACACTGTAATCCCCACAGCTTCCTCTCCTTTACATTTAAACAATGTCCTTGTTTCTCCTTCACTCATCAAGAATCTGATTTCAGTTCGTCAATTAACCCGTGAAAACAATGTTTCAATTGAATTTGACCCTGCTGGTTTTTCCATAAAGGATCTTCCTTCCAGGGAGGAGATGCTCCGATGTGAGAGCAGCGGCGATCTCTACCCCCTGCGCCTTCCTCACCATCAAGCCCTCACTGCATCATCAACGGCGTCCCTGTGGCATCAGCGGCTCGGACACCCCGGACAACCTGTTAATTCTCAGATTTTACACACTTTTTCCTTTTCCTGTAATAAGGCTGATGGCCACTCTTGCAGTTCTTGCCGTTTGGGCAAGCACACCCGTTTACCTTTCCACAATTCTGCATCCCAAACATTTTTTCCTTTTCAAGTAGTGCATTCAGATGTTTGGACCTCTCCTGTTAACAGTCATTCCGGGTACAAATACTATGTTATTTTTCTTGATGATTACACCCACTATCTTTGGACTGTTCCTCTACGAAATAAGTCTGACGTTTTTACGACAATACGCGCCTTCATTGCTTATGTTCAGACTCAGTTTCGCCTTCCCATTCTCTCATTTCAGACAGATAATGGCCGTGAGTATGATTCCTATGCCATGCGCCTTCTTCTGTCCACTCTCGGCATTCAGTTCCGACTCTCGTGTCCCTACACGTCGCAGCAAAACGGCAAGGCGGAACGCATCCTGCGCACCACTAATGACTGTGTTAGAACTCTGTTGATTCACAGTGCAGCTCCCCTGGCGTTCTGGGCTGAGGCGCTCGCCACGGCCACGTACCTGATCAATCGGCGTCCATGCCGCACCACGGCATCTGCGACGCCATACTCCCTCCTCTTCGGCGTGCCACCAAGCTACGACGAGCTCCGGGTGTTCGGGTGTCGCTGCTACCCCAACGTGCTCGCCACGTCGGCGCACAAACTCGCCCCACGCTCCACCGCGTGCGTCTTCATTGGGTACCCCGCTGATCATCGCGGCTACCGATGCTACGACATCACCACCGGCCGCGTCATCACGTCTCGGCACGTCGTCTTCGACGAGGCGGTCTTCCCCTTCCGCCACAACCACATCGCCGACCCTGTGCCCCGTCCACCACCAGCTCAACTTGAGGACGACACGCCGCCACAACTCGTCACCGAGCTGCCTCCGCACCCGACGCGCGCACGGACTGTGCGTTCGAGAGGTGCCTCCGAACAGCCCGTGGCGTCGTCTTCAACATCTGCATCGACTTCCGCGGCATCGTCCACGCCAACGCTGACGTCGCCCACCACGTCGCCCATGGCATCGTCCCCGTCATCGCCACCGGCTGCACCGGCGCGTCCACCTGCCACCACCGGTCATTCCATGGTCACCCGTGCACGTGATGGGATCCACAAGCCGAACCCCAAGTATGCCCTGGCGGCCTCGGGCACACTCTCGCCGGTGCCCCGCTCCGTCCGCTCGGCTCTCAAGGACGACAACTGGTACGCGGCCATGAAAGCTGAGTACGACGCCCTGCAGGCCAACCAGACCTGGACCCTCGTCCCCAGGCCACCCGGCGCGCGCATCATCTCTGGGAAGTGGGTGTTCAAGCACAAGATGAACCCCGACGGCACTCTTGAGCGTTATAAAGCTCGATGGGTCGTGCGCGGATTCAATCAACGGCCCGGCATCGACTTTGGCGAAACCTTCTCCCCGGTGATCAAGCCGGCGACCATCCGCACCGTCCTCACGCTCGTGGCATCGCGCAAGTGGCCTGCTCATCAACTCGATGTCTCCAATGCCTTCTTGCACGGCAATCTGTAGGAGCGCGTATACTGTCAGCAACCCACGGGCTTCGCCGATCCCGCACGGCCCGATGATGTCTGCCTCCTGTCGCGCTCCCTCTACGGACTACGCCAAGCTCCTCGAGCGTGGTTCGACCGCTTCGTCGCGCACGTCACCTCGCTTGGCTTTGTGCAGTCCAGAGCCGACACTTCGCTCTTCGTGTACAACCGCGCCGACGCCCAGGCTTACCTGCTCCTGTACGTGGATGACATGATCCTCTCCGCATCGTCTACAGCGCTGCTCCACCAGTTCGTCAGGCGGCTACAAGACGCCTTCAAGGTGAAGGACATGGGACCCGTACACCACTTCCTCGGCATCAGCGTTCGACGAACCGGCCACGGCTTCTTCCTCTCCCAGACGCAGTACGCCGAGGACCTGCTGGAACGCGCCGGCATGGCGAACTGCAACTCTGTCGTCACTCCAGCAGACACGAAGGGCAAGGTCTCGGCGGCGGACGGCACACTCATCAGCGACGCCACCACCTATCGCAGCCTCGCCGGTGCCCTCCAATATCTGACGATAACCCGCCCCGACATCGCGTACGCAGTGCAACAGGTCTGCCTCCACATGCACGCGCCGCGGGATGTGCACCTCACCATGCTCAAGCGCATTCTTCGGTACATCAAGGGCACGGCTCATCTCGGTGTTCAACTGCGCGCCATCTCCTCGCCGACGATCACCGCGTACTCGGACGCGGACTGGGCGGGCTGCCCGGACACGAGGCGTTCCACGTCGGGATACTGCATCTTCCTTGGCTCCTCCCTTATCTCGTGGTCGTCCAAACGACAGACCACGGTTTCAAGGTCGAGCGCCGAGGCGGAATACCGCGCCATCGCCAACGCTGTGTCCGAGTGTTCCTGGCTACGGCATCTCCTCGGCGAGCTGCTGTGCAATGTGCCATCAGCGACTGTGGCGTTCTGCGACAACATTTCCTCGGTGTACATGTCCAAGAACCCCGTCCACCATCGCCGGACCAAGCACATCGAACTGGACATACACTTTGTCAGGGAAAAGGTCGCCATTGGGGAGCTCCGTGTCACGCATGTTCCAAGTGCGCGACAACTCGCGGATGTGTTCACCAAGGGTCTGCCTTCGGCGCTCTTCTTCGACTTCAGGGACAGCCTCTCCGTCACGACTTCCGACGTCGACACTGCGGGGGGGTGTCAGCGGAATACCACCAACGGTGGCTAGCGCCCCGCGCCCGGGTCTTCAGCATCACGACGCCAACGGCTCCAGCTTCCGTAGAGCGCGCGCTGCCGCACGGCGTCCGCGCTCCCGCTGCGTATGCTAGGCCGCTCGCTCCGCTCACGCGCTCCACTCGCGCTAGGCCGCTCGTTCCGCTCGCTCTTGTGCAGACCGCTTGTACAGCCATGGCCAAAGGCCTATATATGTAAACTGTGTATAATGAATATGATCATCCAGTTGCATAATCCTATTCTACACGCAGGAAGTGGAGGAGCAGCGCGATGGAGGCGTAGGGGCCGGCCACGAACGCGACAGAGCGCGGGTCGTCCCTTGATCTGTATGCGGCGAGCACGGAGGTGCCCGTCAGAGCGGCGAGGCCGAGCGTGGCCAGAACGCCGTGAGGGTAGAGCTCCATCTATCGCTTTCTGGCACGCGGCGTGCAGGCTGGAGGCTGGAGCTACACTACACGCCCCACGCCTTGCTGTCGACGGAGAGAACGAGGTCATGTTTGTTCCTATTTTCTTGAGGACACCTAGTATGCGCCGCCGCTGCGAGCCTGCGACTATGGACGAAGCCAATTCCTGTCTGCTGTCTCCATAGACCAGACCAGCAACAGCAAAGCCGCCGGCTGCCGCTGGTGCCCATTGGCCACTAGCCACTCCCCCAGCCGTCTATTGGCTACGTACTCAATTACCGAAAGGAGTGCGCTGACTGAAACCGCAGCATCACACCGAGAGCACGAGAGGAAAACCCATCTCGCAAAAGCTCCTGATGAAACAAGGAACAGAATGCCATTGCGGTGAACAAGTTTTCCTCCAAAACTGTGACACGCATGTTTGCCACAAAGTTTTTTCTACAAGCTTTCCCCCCAAAAGTCGGAGCACAGAAAAATGACCGCATATTAGGAAAGGCAAATCCACGCGACGACACAGATGGAGCAGCAGGTGAACTGAAAAGAAGAAAATGTAACAACGTCATAAACAGCTGAACCAGCGTGTTCCTGAGTCAGCATCCCTTGACATGGCCGTGACCTTGTTCGTCCTGGCACTGGCAGAAGAGGCCGGGAAAACACAAAGATGCAAAAAAAAAAAAAAAGATACATATGAATGGTCAAATTGCATGGCAATAACAATTGGTATGGTAGCATCTAACCAGCAGCCGCTCCAGCTCTGCCGCCTGAAACACAGCATCCGGCCGGCCAGTCGGCCACCCGCACACTCATCAGTGGCTGCCTTCTCAGGGGCCAATAAACAAGGCCCAGAACCCACCACCGACCGTCGCCACAGCCACCACCCAGACGGCGACGCCGACAAGCGGCGGCATCAGCGGCGCCACGCGCGAAGCGAACATCGCCGTGAGCAGCGTGGTGAGCGCCCAGACAGCGGCCTTCGCCTTGCCCCTGTCGTCGCCCCCAGGCCGCGCGCGCTCGAACCTGCGCAGAAAATGCAGGAGCAGCAGCAGCGCCGCGGTGGCGGAGACGACGAACAGCACCGAGGCCACGTCGCCCCACGACCTGTAGACGGCCGCGGCAGAGTTGCAGGCGAGGACGCCGAGGCCTAGCATGGTCAGCAGGGAGGAGCGGCCATGGCCGCCGCCGTCCATTCGTATTCCCGGGGTGAGCTCGCTCCTACATACTTGCTCTTTCGGTGAACGCAGCTAAATAAGGTTTTTGTGGATTCCTGTGCTTCATTAGTCAATTATATATGTGTATTGTGCTTGTAAGCCGGCCGTTTATTTCGTCAGATTATGCTCTTTCGGTGACTTAATCAAAAAAGGCGCCGGACTGACAGTGACAATTTCTCATTGTTTTTCGCTCGCTAAGCCCATATGTGTGTGTGTGTATACGTGAAGCATCATTCATGATTCGTTGTTCCACGTTCATCGCAGGAATGCCGGCCGGATAATCGGGCATAATGGACGGCAGTGAGCTTCCACTAAAGAAGTAAGGACAAACGAGCCGAACCCAACGACGTCTGTTTTTGCCGGTCATTGATACCTTCCTCTGGTGTCAAAAGTATATACTGGTGCGCCGGCCCACGCCGGGCTTGAGGTGTGATTCGTGAATTCGTAACTAGTCACCGGTGCTCGGTGGAACGGGAGTGGCAGCTGACATTTTTTGACGCTGTCATTAACCATAGTTGTTACGTTAGGACCAAATTCGAAGGTTGAACCGGTAAAGGTCTCGGTTCCTAGTTTGATTGGTGCAACTGTTTGAACCGCAGCTGACATTTTTTGACGCTGTCATTAACCATAGTTGTTACGTTAGGACCAAATTCGAAGATTGAACCGGTAAAGGTCTCGGTTCCTAGTTTGATTGGTGCAACTGTTTGAACCGCAGCTGACATTTTTTGACGCTGTCATTAACCATAGTTGTTACGTTAGGACCAAATTCGAAGATTGAACCGGTAAAGGTCTCGGTTCCTAGTTTGATTGGTGCAACTGTTTGAACCGCCGGCACAATAAGGTACAAATAGGATTATACATGTATCAATGTGAAACACCCCAGGCTCGGCACACTGCCTAGGCCCACTCTGCCGAGGGGTGGGCCCCACCTACGTAGCAACTTGCTTGTGCTTTCGTACTCACTTCGCGTAAAACGGTTAACCAAAAGTTACTACGCGTCCTTGACCTGACTATTTAAGCTGGTTCGGTGAACTCAGAATTCACGGTATGGTACTAAACTTCTGGTTGCACAGTGTTTTCCGTAGCTAAGCCCAGCCCAATTCAACGCTATAGCTACAGTAGCCCAGCCCAACCGTAATTCAGCCCATGAGCTGGGTCTCACACAATGTCACAAGTCACGAGCATCCACATAGCTCAATGGTGTTTCTTGAATAATTTGAATCTCTTCCCCTGCATTTTTATCACTGTTTTACGTTGTTTTCTCCTAAATCCTCCCACTCTTTTACACTATTTTTTTCCTTCCTCCTCTCACGTGACCATGTGTCACTCGAGCGCTGCGCTTAGTCTCTGCTACTCGAGCGCTGCGCTTAGTCTCGGCTTTTACAGCATCCCACCACGTGACCATCTGTCCGTTTTCTCCTCCCTCCTCCTACATGACCATGTGTCTGCTTGAGTGTTGCGCTCAGTTCGTTGATGGAGACCACCCACCACACACACCACACACACCCATCTACTACCGCTTGCATCATGCTCCCCTCTCTACCAAATCAAGGATTGAACTGGTAAAGGCCTCGGTTCATTGTTTGATTGGTTCAACCGTTTGAACCGCCGACTTAATACAGTTCAAATAGGATCAGTCAGACTCAGACATGCATATCAATGCACAAGCATCCACGTAGATTAGTGGTGTTGCTTGAGTTCGAATCACTTCCCCTGCCTAGAAGGATGAATCCAAATGCCCATAAAAGCCGAGGCTTTCCCGGTGGGCATTTGATCGAGCAAACAAGGGAAATGTGTCCACACATTTCAGCCCTTGAAAATACTAGAATAGCTCTGCGAGCATGGACTGAAGACCCAGACGATGTCACAAGGGTTCTTCTAACCGCAGTAGTTGATTCTCTTGCTTAACAAGCTGCTAAGATGAGCAACACAATCACCCTATGCATAAGAATTCTTCTAACCGCTCAAGATCTTCGTAGCAAAAGGATAGACCATGGAGGGTCCAACGGAGTTGGGAGCATTCGAGGAGGCAGATAGAAGAGAAACATGGCTGAATTGTTGAGTTGCTCTCGCCAGGGTCGGATAGACATTTTATAGCCGGCCTAAAAGGATGAATCCAAATGCCCGTAAAGCAATGATGCTCTCATAAAAGTTTTGAAGTATGGGCTCATGAGCTGACATAGACGGCGACAAATAGTAGACCCCAAATCAAGATTCTTTACCTGTGACTGCAGACCTATCGGGGGCACAGACGTGATAATTTTGGAATAAAATTACTTTTATCCCAAAATTAGGGGGCATGTGTTTATACCAAAATTTGGAAGAAGAGTTGCAGGGACTCGAAAGCTCCCAAGATCATGTCATTAAGAAATCAATTGTGTGCAGACCGGAACCAGCTGATTCGAATGCAAGAACTGGAATCGGCTTTCTTCAGATAGCGTCAGCGGATAACGACAAAGGCTATGATCGGCGCCAGGACGAGACATGTTGGACTCTAAAAAACAGAAAGATTAGAGTCCAAGTTATCTTAAATTAGGAATGTTTTCTCTAAGGTCAAAAAATTGTGATGAGTCGTGCTTAGACAGGAGTCATACGCATGTCCCGGGTATAAATATCAAACCCCGGCTATTGTAAAACACACAATCAATCCAATATACAAGTCATTTACTTTTTCGGCTCCGGCCACCCCTTAGGAGTAGAGTAGAATAGATCTCGACGAGTTCTTCAGCGAGTACGACTGCATCGATCCGATCGACCTCCACTGCTTGTTGTAAGTACCGTCATAGCTTATACCTCTATTCGTACGACTGCATCGATCCGATCGACCTCCACTGTGACTCTGGTATAAGTTAGTTATCAATTCTTGTCTAGTTCAAGTATGGCTGCATCGATCCGGTCGACCCCCACTACATGAACTAGATCAAGGTCAAGTTATCGGCTCTACCTTAGAATGACAGTCTTTGGTAGATTCATTAAGTTACCGATATTACTTATTGCTTTCATTATTTATCTAAATTATAGCAATATCACTCTGCCCGATTGGGATTGATCTAGATCGGCCTTATATCTTGTTTAGCCCATCGTTTGTTAATCTGAAACTTATCTAATCTACACGTTAAACGATGAGTTATGTTTTATCGACTGTTTTACGTTAATCCTGATCGTGCATAGCGTGCGGTTAAAGCATGTTGCGTCTTGAGTAGATTTATTGGCTAGCGAAAACCGTTTCATGGCCCGTTATCACGGCCTGTGTGATTCTGTCTCACACCCCACTGTTAGCACCGTGGAGTGGGGATCGTTATTTGGTAGATCTATTCCCGATAAGGCATGACTTTAACTATGCGCTATGCCTGAATCGGCTGTTTTAACCGATATCGAATGCTTTCACGAACAGTTCGCATCACAAGACCGTTGAAGTAAAGATAGGTTGAAAGATGTGTTAGCCCCATGATCTTATTATTGTATTACGGCCTGCATGATTCTGCCTCATGCCCTACTGATATTAGTAACGAGTTAGGGTCGTCGAGTCTATTGTTATTTCTACGGCCTGCATGATTCTGCCTCATGCCCCACTAATCATAACGATAGATGAGATCTAACATGTTCATTAGATTTATCTTTATTAAACGGTTAAATGGTGTTGAATTGTTTCTTTATATAGCAAGGGGTTCGGTTACTTGTAATCATTGGCTTAGCATAAAACAATTATTGTTGACATCTTATTGCCATTGATTAATATTTGTTCAAATAACGATATTTATCCTGAATGATAACCGATTCTTCTTATACAACCCAATGAGCTTTAACCGATTTATTCTCACGAATATGCTGGAATCAACTATTTAGTCGATCTCCTTTCATATCGGCTCTCAGAGCCACACATTCAGGGCTGTCTGGCAACACCGGCACGTTCCGCCCTTAATTATTGATAAACTTTCTCTCGTTGTCAATTACAGGGTCAAATTGACTGGCACGTCTCGGGAGGAGTGTGCAGGATCGACCATCCCTGCGCTAAAGCTAGGCGTATCTACAGTTCCATCGAGCAGACCCTTCCGGCTTGCTACGTGTATCCTCGACACAGGACGAAAATTCTGTGTCGACATAGGATTTTCTTATTTAGGTATAGTAGATATCTAAACACTTCATTACCGTATTAAATAAAAATTGGCCCCATTTATTTTCATTTACCTTATGTAATCACACATCCCAACGCTTCTTTAACAGGTTACTCAACAGGTTGTGGCCATCACATAGAATGCACATGCCGCTGCAAAAGATCTAGTACTCACTTTTGTTCCATTCAAATTCACCTAATGTTATATATCTCTTATTATCAAACGAGTTTACTTTGGCCAGCAACCAGACGATCCACGTCGCCCCGAAATCGTCTGCCCGTCGGATTCTGTGATCCACGGTCCATATTGCCTCCGTCCGCCGCTACAGCCCTTGCCCCCGCTACGAAACCCTCGCCGTCTCTCGCCGACCCCGACGCCCTCCTCCTCTCCGCTCTCTCTCCCTCTCCCTCTCTCGATCCATGCCCCCATGGCGACGCCGCACGGACCGCACGGCCGGGACAGCGCAGCTGCGGCCGCCCTCCTCCTCCTCCTCCCCCTCCCCCCCCAAACCCCCACGCCATGCCCTCCCCTCTCTCTCTCCTCTCCACTCGCTACCTCTCTCTCCCGATGCGGCCAGGCCGACGGCGGGCAATGCGCGCAGCCGGCCTAACGTGGGCCGCAGCCGCCGCCGGCACTTACGCGGGAGGACTGCCCGCTGGCCTCTACTACCCGCCCACTGCGGAGCTTAGCCTTCGCTCTCTCCCTTCCTCCCCTCCCCTTCCCTCCCCGGCACTGGGGACGGACGTCGATGTAGGCTTATCGGCTCGGTCTTCCTTGCTGGCGGAGGCCCAAACCTATGGATCTGGCGGATCCGGTGCCTCCATGGCCGGATCCATCTGTCCTCACGTCCGATCTGTGCAGCCA